CTTGAGTTTGTATAGGCTGGGACTCGTAAATTAATCATTAATTAAGCAAGAACGTTCCTATAAGATAAAAATTAAGTGCAATCCAATTCATTAAGTTTCACAGATTTGGATAACGATTAATCAGTAATATTCAAATTAATAAAATAAACTCTAAATAAGCCATGATAAATAAGCCCTGATCAGGAAAAATGGGATTTACAATATTAGATAGGAGAGAGTAATTAGATCAGCTCAAAATAAGGGTAGAGAAACGAAAGAAAACGCTAAAAAGAAACGAAAGAATTCTTTTTAGCATCACAGATCAGGAAGATAAACGATATTTTAATAAGGTTTTGGTTTCTTAAAGTGATATCTAAACGGTATATGATATCATAAAATTATTTAAAGGTTGCCGTGGAAAACTATGCCGCATTAAAAGACTTTTTCAATAAATATCCTTCATTTAAATCAAATCCATTTTATCTCACTGGAGAGTCATATGCAGCAGTATATATTCCACTGCTTGCTGGAAAAATTTTGGAGGGTAACAAGGCTACACAAATAAATTTAAAAGTATATAATTTTGATATTTAATAAGGAAAAAATTAATTTTGTTAAAGGGTGTAGCTATTGGTAATGGGGCATTAAGTGATAGTCTGCATACAAATACACTACCTATGTACCTTTATAGTCATGGTTTGATGGATGAGGAAGTCTGGCAGACGTTCCAAAGTCAATGCTGTAATGGCTGCATGGGTTAAATTTAAAAATTATTTTTTATTTTTCCATAGCCGTGAACGGGACTGGTGATATCCAAATTAATCCAATAATTATGATTTTAAAACATAAACAAATTTCTATTTATTATGGGGAAATAGATGTAGATGTCATTTCCCATAGGAGCTGAGACCGCTTGATCGAGCGCTAGGCTGATCAAACACTCAATGGAGAAAGTGATCTAAGTTGGAATGAACATCAATTTAGCTTCTAGTTAATAATAAATTTTATTAAGCAGAGTAGCTATTGGTAGCTATTGGTTTTATTAATTAGAGTAGCTATTGGATGGTGATTAAGTGAAAGGCTTAATACAGATACACTACCCATGTACCTTTATGGGCGGGAGCTTGGTTAATTTTCGATATTTTTTTAGAGTCGAACATTAATAACTTAATATTTTAAAGATGGTTGTGACATTAAAGGCATCCCTGATGAATCAAGATGTGGAAATATGGTAAAATTTTATAAATTTAACAAATTTATTAAAACTTTTAGGGAGGGAACTTATTTGCTGCTTATAACAATAAATTTTTAAATATTTATAATATTTATGAAAATTGTGGTAAAAATATTTACTTATAAATTATTTAATTATTTAAATTTATAACCGGCAAACGGCAATCTTCCGTGTATAGATGGTAAGAAAAATTATAGTTTAATTATAAAAATATGATTATTCCCATCTAAAAGATCCTTAAAATAATATTGGGAGCAATTTATTAGGGTGTAAAATACTTTTCCTTTCTTAGGGAAAACTATTTCACCTTCCTATTCTTTAATAGGGAATTAAAAAATCTCAGCGTTAATTATTCTCTCAGAATAATTAACCTAGATCAAATAAACAAATAAAATTAACACAACTACAATTAAATCTTTATCTTCAAATAAAATAAATATTCACACAGAATATAAAAAATGAATATCTCAAAAAGACATTGAAAAGTGAAATTTCTGCCTACTTTTTATAGGCAAAAATTTCTATATAAAAATGATGCAATGTTAAGTACATTGCAAAAAAGTACATAAAAAATTGTCAAAAATGGAAAGTGACTACTGAGTCACTTCCAAAAATAATAAACAAAATAAAAAATATCAAAAATATTTAAAATCTTTTAATCTTCAATTTCGTCATCGACATAGGGAGCAAATTATTAGGGACCCAAAAAGCACATCTCCCAAGGGGCCATTCTATTAGAGGGGCCATTCAAATGGAGGTGGTCATTCTAATAGAGGAAATACTGTAATGAATTTCTGTTCGATTCTAAGACTTGGTTCCAGATATCCCAAATTTTTTACATATTCCGACAACCCCATTCCCAATCAAAATTTCACAATAATATTCCAACAAACAGGAATCTCTGAACATATTTGAGTATTATAAATTTTAAAAATTATTTTTAGCATAAATTTTAATTTAAGTTTCCAATGTAGAGAATTACTTAAACTTGCCAGATGGTCATTCGTTCTTATCAAAAAATTAATGAATAATAATTTTAGTAAAAAAAGCATTGCATATTCCGCCTATTTTAAATAATAAATGGGAAGTATGTTCATCTAATCAGTTTAATACGTACACACCAATTTATGGTTGATTTAAATTAAAAAAATATTTGTGGAATAATTTTTAGAAGAAATGGCCAATTTTATAAAAGTTATTCTAAATGCTAATATTCGTGTGATTTTTTATAATGGTGATTTGGATATGAGGTGTAATATGTTGATGGGACAACGTTTTACTGAACGACTTGGATATAAAGTTGGACGATTTTTTGTTTAAAATAAGTAGACCGTTTTTAGTGGTTTATTAACTCGTACTTGGTAAGAGAAATTTTAAGTCGATGTAAGAGGTAAAAAGAATGTGTACGAAAAATAAGGGTAGAGACAAAAATAGTGGTAGTCGACCTTCAGGGCCTACCGAAATTTCCAAACCTCTTAAAACTTAGGAGTCTGCTTCAAAAAGCTGAAATCATATTGGAGCAGTCCATAAAATGCCGTGTCTGTTTCAATCTTATTACTATATCACATACTGCTTCACAATACCTGATCAATTAAAAGTCTTAATTAAGATATGAAATCTATGGATAATTTCTCTCATTTTACTAACAAATACCTCTTTAGGAGTAAATTGTAAATGTAAACTTTTAGTAGAATTTATACTTAAACATGAGGTTGATTGATCTGAATATATTTTTCGGTACTTATTTTACTAAAAACAACTATCCGTAATAACTAATTGAGAAACAATACATTGTTATATTTTTAAAGTTAAAAACAATAAAACAATCATGGATTGTAAATGGACAGATTGGTGGATTTAAAACTGAATATGAAAATGGATTAACTTTCACGACAGGTAACAAACAAAATTCTAAATATTTTTTAATATTTTCTATTTAGTTAGAGGAGCAGGCCATGCGGTTAATTTAAAATATTTTTTAGAAATTCAAACGATTTTATTAAGGTTCCTCAATATAAACCGCAAGAATCGTTGTATATGATTAAACAATTTTTGGATAATAAACCTCTTTAATACAAAGATTGAGGGCTATTCATAAATTTGTTGAAAGATTTAAAACTTGGTTGAAGCTTTAAAAATAATGATTTGTTAATGCATTAAATGGGATTTAACTTATATTCTTTAACATATTTAAAATTTTTGGGTAGTTAATGGTATAACATGTGATTTAATATTTTTGAATTTAAATTTGGATAAAATGAAAGGATAACTATTTTAATCACAAATATTAGAAAATTAATTTTGATTAATTAATTAATCAGGATTCTGATTTTAATTTTTGTTTATTTTCTAAATTAACTTCAAAAATATTTAACGATTTAACATGATTGACTGTTGATTTCACAATGGACCAAAAAACTTTAATATTTTGCAATTAGTTAATTAGTGCCTTTTTGAAAGATTGAACTCGATTCTTTGATTAATTCAGACCAACTTTTTTTTGTTTTTCCACATAATTCCCGAAGGTGTATATTTTAGTTCATTTGTCTGAAAATTTATTTTAGTTTGTTAAAAAAATTAAAAATTTTTTAATTTTTAAAAAATTAAAAAAAAATTTTTTCTATGTTCCGAAACGTGAAAGATCAAAGCGAACATTTGAGCATTACTAATACTGAACATACTTTTTTTTATATATTTTTTCCCGTTTATTTTAGTTGCTAATGAAATTAGAAGGAAAGAAGGTAAAGGATAGAATGAAGAGAGAATTGTAAAATCTTTGAGATTAAACCAAGAGATAGACTTTGTTTCATAATTATAGATTCATTAAAAAATTTTTGATTTTATCAGAGGTCCGATTGGAAAGAAAATTTTATCGGAAACTCTTGTCTGTCTTTCGAAACATTATTACATAAAGAAATTTAAAATTAAAAAAAATATTTAAAAATAACATAGCATAATAGGTGCTTATTAATTATTGAATTTACTAAATTAAAATCAAAATATTTTAAACTTAAATTAACAGAAGAAGCCTATTAACAGAGAAGGATTTTGTTAAGAATTCATTAATAAAATTCATTCTCATATAAATTTTGTAGAAAAATTAATTAAATGCATAAATATCAATTAATACCTACTAAAAATATTAAAAATACGAAAAAATATTTTCCTAACATTTTGTCCAAAAGATTATTCAAAATTATTATACTGATAATATTACTACTATTATTTTATTTAATTTTTAATCGACACAGAAATAAATATAATTTAAAAAATTCTTTGACTTATTTACCTCAAATAAATTACACTGAGATAATAAAGGTTTGCTAAGACTGTCTAAATAATAATTAGAATTATAAGTTTAACGTAGCAGTTCAACTAAGTCTCGGCTCAAGATTGTCAAGGGGGGTAGACAATTTTTGAAAAGGGGTAGACAATTTTTAATGTTTTTGGAAACATTAGATAAAAAATTTAATGCATAACTGCAACCTAAAAATCAAAATTCTCAATTGAGTTTTATTATTAATAATTTAATTAATTAAGGAAGGCTATTCTCAAATGAATATTATACAAAAATTAATGTATCTTCGAGGATTATATAAATATTATTCTGCAAATTTTTTACAAAAGCAATTAATAGATAAACAGGTTGGAGATTATAACAAAAATCTCAAAAGGTGAAGGATCTGACGCGTATCGTAGATGCTTTTGTAAAAGTGTTTATAAGCTGTTACCAAAATTCGTACGCGTATGAGTACGATGATAAAAATAAGGGTGGCGCAGTACGAGTATGAGCCAAAAATATGGGGTGGTACTAAATACGACACGAGCAATACGTACAAACAAAATCTCGAACTTGCTAAAAATTTGGAAGGATTTTCTTTTTCCCTTTATACACACTTATGGAAGCAATATATTCTTTTTTTTTTTCTTTTTATATTGTATATTCCTTAAGATCATTAATCAATTATCAATAGAATCTAGGCTCTTCATTAAACAAACTAATGATCAAAAAATTTCAAGTTTAAGCGAAAAAATACAATCTTCTATAAATTTACTACAAAATCCAACTGATTGCTTCACAGCGAAGATTTTTGTTTGCCCAGTAAGTAAACTGGGCAATTTATATAAAAATATTTTTTTTCTTTTTCGACGCAAGAAAGCGGTGTTGGTTGGGGATTTGGTGTTTTGCTGCATAGGCTTCGGTAAATTTTTGATATTTAATTTTATTAAGTTACTATTTAATAGTTTCTGTTTTATTTTTGCTTTTAAATCGGGAAGAACGGTAGTGTTTACTAATGAAACAATTCGAGTTGTTAATAACCAATATGATGTAAAATGGAATGAATTATTTAAAACAGCATCAAAATGTTCGTATACAGAACATGTAAAGTGTAAAAATTCTTCAAAACTTTTGTGACAAAACTATCTCAATTTTAGCATACAAATAAAAAAGTCGAAATCTCGAACCGCCGTTTTAACGGGAAAAGGAATTAAAGTATACCAGAAAATATTTTCGCCCCCTTAGGGCAGGCATAATAATCTTTTTTCTCCGAAACTAAATAATAATAATAATAAATATCCCAGGGATTTTAAAAATCAAAAAATATTTTTAAAGGTTAAACCATTCCTTCCAATAAAAGAATTTAAAGAACCAGGACAAACTGATAGAATAACATTCTTAAAGTATAATCGTGAATTGGTAAATTTTAATATTAATGGTCTTTATAAATTTAATATTTACTTAATCTAGATAACTAACTAAATTTAATTTTAATAAAGCCCTCTTAGCTTAAATTAAATATTGTGCTAACATAAGCTTTCACGCGCGTGACGAACAACACACATTTTAAATAGATTTCTGTTTTTCAAAATACATTCCGACTCTTTATATTCCTGTTCTGGAAAGATAAAATAGCCAAAGAGAATGCTCCTTAAGTAATCTAAGCCACTTCTAGAAGTTTGGCATTTCTCCCTTACCTCCCAGATTAATTTAACTCATGATGTATTTATTATTTTTTATCTTCAGCTAACAACTGGATTTGATGTTGCTCCTATGGAATTTAAGAATTTTTTCCTTAAAGAGATTTCAAATCCAATACTTTGGTTTCGTGGACAAGTAAAAATTTTTTTTTATTTAAAAGAAAAATTTTATTTAAAAGCGGTTATAATTCCATAGTAAATCCTTATGGATTGTTTTATTTTTAAGGACGTCCGAATGAATTAAATTAAAATTAAATTTTGTTTAAAAGTATTTAATTTTTAGTTATTAAAATATATTTGGAGGGAAACTGAAAAAACAATAAATATAACAAATCAAATTGTTTCAAAAATTCCATTCGAATGTGGTAAAATAAATTAATTTGTTAATCTATAAGATAAGAATTGTTGTATTTGTAATTTTTTTATAGTAAAAAAATTAAATTTTTATAGGCCCAGTTGTTGGCATACATGTTAGGAGAACAGACAAGTACAGAGAAGCTAAACTGCAAAAACTAGAAGATTATTTGGTTAGAAGAATGTTTGAATATTTATTTATATTTGTTAAGTAGAAGGACCGGTTACCGATCCATAAAGGATTCCGAGTACACACGACGTGGACGTTTACGGAGGATAATGAGATCCTTGTATACCATATTTTTACACTGATTTGGAAAACTGGTGGAGACGTTTATTTGGGTTTAGACCAACCTCTACTTGTTACCAGATAGAGTACCATGAATTTATAATTAGACAGACGAACTTGAAAGGCCCCGCAATCAAATCGCTTCTACACATTGATCACTCCCTACATCCGGTAATTGCTGTTTCCAACCCACCTTGGAGAACTTATATGGGAATGTCGGTAGATGAACTATCATGGATCGGTGACCGACCCTATGTTAAGAGGCTATTAATTTATTTTTAGAAATTGGTTGACTTCTGGTTTGATGTTAATGAAGGAAATTATCAAAATAACCATTCAATTTCTTCAAGTAATTGTACTAATAAACGGATGTTATTTGTTGCATCAGATACTCCTGTACTTAAAGATGTAGTTAAAGAAGTAAAAAATAAACTCGGAAATAAATATGAAATTTATCATGCAAAAATATTTAATAAAACACAATGTACGTTTTAGCTAACAAGGGTCTTGCTGTTAATTGCTATCTCAAAGCCAGCTCCGGCTTCCTTACCCCGCTCCCTTACAATACCCATTAGAGATCGAGATTTTTGAAAAGCCTGGACCTGTTCCTGGACTCTGGAGTTGATTTCTTGACCTGGGCTGGATCCTGGACTTGTAGTCCAGGAAAAACCCAGGTCCAGGAAAAACCCAGGAAGGTCAAAAAATGCCTGGACCTGGACTCTGGGTACAGGAAAAACCCAGGCCTTAGTCCAGGTCCAGCTCAATCTCTAATACCCATTGAACAATTTTTAATTTTCAAATTTAAATAGATTTCTCAAAAGAATCTTTTATTGAAATATTATCCGTGTATCGTATACTCGCTAAATGCCAATTTTTAGTTTGTACATTAAGTAGCCATGTAAGTTAATTTTATATAAGATTAAATTAAATTCTCAATTAAATAGACTTGTCTAATGACTTATGAACTTATGCATGCACTCCAAGGCGATGCAAGCGAAAAGTTACATTCCCTAGACTATCTTTATTCACAATTCTATTTACAAAATGAAAAAGATTCCTCTATGGAGGTTACTATGGAGGCTACTACTGAATATAAACCAATACATGGTATAACGTAAATTATAAGGATAAAAAAATAAATTTTTTAGGGTTTGTCTTATTGTAAATAATTCACCTAGTATTTTAATCTTTTTTGAACTATAATTTTTTTAGATTTTCTAGTAAAATATCGTGTAGACCAAAGTATCGTGAGATCAATGTACCCGCGAGCTATAGCTTCATGCAAAATTATTACTTCGTGCAAACGGAACTCCATGGTATGGTTCGATTTAAATCAACGAGCTATATCGAACGATTTTGAACGAAGTTATAGCCCGGGAGTACATTGACTTCGCGGCAATTTGGCTGATCCCTAAAATATTGTATTAAGGTAACCCACCGGAGCTTTTGGCTGAAAAGGGAGACATAATAGGTAGGTTATAATTAAAACTTGAACTTCAGTGTCATTTGACCTAACGTGTTGATAGGGGTAGGCTCATTGCGTTATTTGCGTCAAATTTTGGCCTTGCGTTGCGTTCTTTAGTTTTGCGTTAATTGGTCACATTTTGGCCTTGCATTGCAAATAATGGATGAATTAATTAAAATTAATGGTTTTCTCAAATCCAACTAAATTATCAAAAATTTCTAAAATCTGTCCCTTATTGTTAAGAGGCTCAATTCTAAAGATGGCCATTATTAAAATTTTATTCTAATGTTCTTTACAGTTGTGTCAGGTCCAGTTAATCAAGAAGGAATTGTGCAAGCAACAAATCTTCGATTAAACACTAGAGGAAAATTTCCAATTTATTTTCTTAAAAAACACACAAAATTTGAAAATTTTCCAGTATTTGCTAATATTATTACAAGATAAATTTTACTAGATATTGTAACTTTGTAAATTTTTTAAATATTTTTTAACAAGAAAAGAATCAAAAAAGATAGGAAAATTTGATAGGAAATCTTTCATTTTCAATTTTACTATTGAAATATGAAAATTTTTCGAAAGTGCTGGAGATAGACAAAAAAAGCTAGGAATTTATTCTCATTTTTAACCTGTAGATGGTTATTAATAGAGTTACATAATAATTATTTGACAAGTCTTAAACAAAAAATAAAGTCTACCCACTTATTTCTTTTTTGTCTACATCCACTATTTTCAAAAAATTTTATCCCTATCCAAATTATGAAATTTTATATCAATAGTAAAATCGAGAATGATTGACAACGATTGACAAGTAAATATTTAAATTGTTGTTTCATTTATACATACACTGCGTTCCAAAATGATACGCACCCCTAGTTTTTTCATGTTTTATGAATTTTCCCATGTTATTTTAATCAGATATTTTATCTATGGATTCTTCATGATAAATTGAAAGCCCTTGAAATTTGCTACAAGATAGCATTAATTTTATTTTTCTAAAAAAATCAACCTTTAAGACAAAATGTGATAAAATTTCAGTTTGTAAAAATCACTCAAACGCCCCCAAAAAGTGATGAAAATGTAACTTATAAACTAAACTCATAATTTTTCAAAGTTGAATTTTTTCTAGATTATGAGATGAAAATTATCTTGTAGCAAATTTCAAGGGCTTTCAAATAAGCCCAAAATAAAATTTTTATTTCGACCGTAAGGGGTCGAAAATATTTTTTAAAGACGCCTACCTCAGTTTCCCGTTGATTTTCGGGTTTTCAGATCTCAATGAAGCAAGTACATCTGAACTTCATTTCTTTTGTATTCCTTATCTATATTGATAGATGTGTTCAGAAAATTTTTTGTGGATTTTTATATTGTTAAACAAAAATTTTATGAGGGGGGTGCGTATAATATTGGAACACTTATATTTTAAATAAATTGGCATAAAAAAGCAAATAATTTACGGATTTTTTTATTTTCTTGTTTAAACATGTCATTTATCATGAAGAATCCATAGATAAAATATCTGATTAAAATAACATGGGAAAATTCATAAAACATGAAAAAACTAGGGGTGCGTATCATTTTGGAACGCAGTGTATTTGTTGTTTCATTTATACATATATTTGTTTTAATTTAATTTTCAACTTGATTTAATTTATTTTTCAACTTTTCATATATTTTCAATTTGTAATGTCGCCCAAGTGGCAAATAAAATAAATAAATAAAATAAAATTGCTTAGTAGGACTTAACGTTAAATTCCCCAAAAAATAAAAATAAACAGACGTTATGAAATACCAGTAGGACTACTATCAAAATTGAAATTTATAAACACTGTTTATAACTCGTGATTTCTAGAGCTACTAGAAATAAGATTATTCAATGAAACTTCAAGATTAATTTTTTTTAAATAAACATTTTAATACTAGCTACAAATTTTCCGGCTAGAAGGGAAATAAAGTTTGTCCAATTTTCATGAGCCTTAAACTTTCGAGTTTTCTTTTTTAATATTTTGCTGAGATAAATCGACTTCTAGTTTTGCCCTCTGACCAAATATACTAAACTATTTCAAATAATCATATGAAACAAAAATTTAAGATGAAAATAATTTTTATTTTCATTATTTTATTCATTAATGCGTTGTTTTGGAGTTTTGTTTCTATGGGTGGTTCTTCTCGCCATAAAGGAGAAGGGTCGTCTTCTACTAGAAGGCAAATGAGACAAATATTTAGTGATATATACAAAAATAATTTGGCTGATCTAAAAAAGAAAAATAAATGTACTGGTAAAAAGATGAAAGAAGTCTATCCAAGTGAAGATACACAGAAAGATTTGATT